AGATAGATAGATAGATAGATAGATAGATAGATAGATAGATAGATAGATAGATAGATAGATAGATAGATAGAGGGGTGGATGGGGATAGATAGATAGATAGATAGATAGATAGATAGATAGATAGATAGATAGATAGATAGATAGATAGATAGAGGGGGTGTACGGGGATAGATAGATAGATATAGGAAATTGCACCCTACAGCTATAGTTCCAAAACCCTCTTGAAAGAGCCCATCGGCTTTCACACACCTCTGACCCTGGTACACAGAGATTGTCATTTGCGTCTGCCCTGCTTTCTAGCCAAAGAGTCTTCACCCTGAAAGCCTGATCCCAAACCTATAATGGGAGGCTTTGCAGTGAGTACAACAGACACTGGACCAGACACTAGAATCATAGAAATGAATTCCAGGCGGTTGTTCATTTGTCTCTTCGGCAAATGTATATTCAGGAGCCCACTGCAGGTTGTTAGTTGCAGAAACTCAGAGAGAGTTCGAACTCACCTCGGAGCCCTACAGAGGGTAATTCACATGGTTGATGGAAGGAGTCTGACTCTTATAAGGAAGGGGATATGCAAATCGAGGAGACAGTTTCCTGTTTAAATCTGTCCCTCTCTGCTGAGACTGCACTCGGAGAAACAATCCGCAGCCCCCTGGGTCTCTGCAGTTGCCAGCCAACCCCCCTAAGAAGTTTCCCCTCCGTAACCAGAGGAAATGAGACTTTGGTTCCATTTAGTTTTTATTTTTTCCAGGTTTTGGAGGTATTTTTGTCCCCCGAGTAATTTGCGCAATCAGGTGAATGTTATACTATTGCTCTTTTTATGTGATTTATATTGTGGCTTTCTTCGCAGGTGCAGCTGGTGGAGTCCGGCAGGGATGTGAAAAAGCCCAGAGACTCTCTCCGCCTCTGCTGCAAAGCCTCCGGGTTCACCTGCAGCAGATACGCCATGCACTGGGTCCGAAAGGCTCCCGGGAAGGGGCTGCAGTGGGTGGCTGGAATTAGCTCCGGAAGCGGATCGAACCAGTGATATGCTAAGGCTGTCGAAGGGCGATTCACCAGCTCCAGAGACAATTCCGTCACCACGGCATAATTACAAATGACCGGCCTGAAACCCGAGGACACCGCCCGCTGTTACTGGGCGAGACAAGACACACAGGAGGGGAAACGGGTCTGAGCTGAGCTCAGACAAAAGGGGAAGGGATTTCCTAGGGGTGGCGCTCTGGTTCCACAGCAATGAGAATGGACACAAAGTATCTCCCCTTATGGACACCGCACACAGCTGCAATAGGAGAGAGGCTGACTCCATCTCCCCTGGGGAGCGCAGGGAGCAGATGCCCAGGGTGGATTTCAGAGGGGCAGCATAAAAGAACAGGTGGCTCCGCCCTCGCTCTGTGGATGCCCCTAGTGACTCTCTGGTCAGACACACTCCAGGTTAAGGCTTCCCCCTTCTCCCAGTGAAGTCTGTGGAGAAGCTGAGCCCTTAGTGCAGGGCAGGGGGCGTGCGGAGCCCGGAGTGAGGGTTGTTTGACAGGCGGGGGGGTCAGTAATCGCTCAGTGATCCCCCCCCTCAGCCCATTGATCGTTCTCTGGATAAAAATCCACCCTTTTGTAGAGGGGGCAGCACAAGCGTCTATGCACCTTCTGAGTGGCACCAAAGCATTTTAGTGTTTAACATTATCTGAGGATCTGATGCCCAGACACATATTCCCACAACAATCCAAAGGAAACATGTCTGTGAGTTCCATGCTCCGTGGTGGGAAGAGGAAGGTCAAAGTGGGTATGAATCCAAACAGAAATATGAATGGGAAGGGGAATCGAAATGGAAGTATCCAGGGGGTATTAATCTGAATCTGAATCTGAATCTGAATGGGGATATGAAGTGGAGCATAAATGGGACTGCAAAGGAAAATAGGAACAGTATGTCTGTGCATTCATGTTTTTCATTTCCATTCAGTTAAAAGTGTCATTAGGAGAGTATGATACTGACACGCCCCCTCACACTAGAACTCTCCCCTCTCTTTACACCTCCCCCCATTGCCCCCCACGACCACT